GATTGCTGGGGAGCGAACCTTTCGGAGAGGCACTGTTCGCCCACGGGGGAAGGGGAAGCGTCAAGATGGTACGTGGTTGTTTGGGCTCCCCTTTGCTCGCCCACCATTCTTGCAAGTCTCGGTGAAGATTGTGGAGGTTGGTGGTTACCTCCACCCCTGGTCGTGTCAGGACGTTGACAAAATGTGTTGGCCCGGTAGACAGTGTCGATGACGATTCGTTCACCCGTGTGGCCGTCGTGGTGGGAGCGGTTTTGGCCATTGGACGGGGACGGCAGGGTTGTCGTCGAGGAAATGCGTGCCCCGGGGTGCCAGTGCTTGCGGTCGATGATGCGGTTAACGGATTCGGGCCAGGTGCGGGAATAGTCTGCATCGATATCACCCTGATTTTGGATGCTGATGGGGCCGGTGGCGGTAATGGGTCGGCAGGCTGCGGAATAGGATGCGGTGCCCCGGGAACGATAGCTAGCGATGAGGTGGTCCCGGGTGGAAATGCGGGAGCCACTATGGTTAGATGGGCTCTCTGTGCCGCAGTTGCAAAACGGGCCTTATAGGCCTGAACCGCCTGTTTTATGCGGTTCATCCTGGCCTGTCCCTTTTTTACCCTACGTTCCCCATCTTGCCGAGGGTTGTGTAACGTAGTCGGTTTGGGGCGGAACTTCTTCGGTGGGTTCATTTGCGGATTTTTTTTCTTTAACTAAAGGAAAAGAAAAGAATTCTATTATACATATGCCGGTTTAAGATCTTTAACGTGAATGTGTTGGAGCTTCTTGCCGGAGCCGTCTTTTAAGTCATAAACTACGGGCAAAACGACTTTTGTTACGGTATACGGTCCGGAATATTTTGGAGCCAGTTTGGCTGCAAAACCTTTTATGGCGGAGGAAAGCGAATTTTCCTTTCGCATAACTTTATCGCCGACGTGACATCTCCATTCTCGGCGGCGCAGATTGTAGTTGTGGCTCTGAGCGGAAAATGCCCTACCTAGATTCACTCGGACCAATTCATATACCTCCTTTAGTCTTTTTAAACGGTCGGAATGCAAGGTAAGTTGGGCCGGTTCGTCTTGATCTACTTCGGATTCGGTGTCGGTGATACGGTATAAAGCTTTAGGTTGGTCCAGTTCTCGTCCAAAATTTAGGAACGCTGGCGAGAATCCAGTCGAATCCTGTCGGGAAGAGTTAAGGGCGAATGCCAGTTCAGAGAGGTGAGCATCCCATTTTCGGTGGTTTTCGTCACAGAACTGAGCAATCATGGTCTTTATCGTCTTATTGGTGCGTTCTACAGGATTCGCTTGTGGAGTGTAGACTGGGGTAAGTCGATGCGCTATACCCATTTCCTGTAGAAGCTCCTTGAATGGTCGCCCGGTATATTGAGACCCATTGTCGGTTAAAACAGTTTTGGGACACCCAAATCGGGAAACAACTTGCTCAAACAACGCTTGAGTAACGGCACGTGACGTTGCTTGTCGGATCGGTCGGCATTCTACCCATTTCGTGAAACGGTCTTGGAACATAACCAGAAAGCTGTTCACTTCTGAGGATCGGGGCAGCGGTCCAATCAAATCGGTAGTCACGGTTTCCCAGGGTTGCTGGTTCTTGGACGGATGCATTTTACCCGGAGTTTGCTGTTGAGAGGGCTTATAGCGTTGGCAAGAGCTACAACTTCTGACATATCGGGCTATATCTCTCATCATGCCTGGCCAATAATATTTCCGGCAAATTCTAGCCGTAGTCTTGGCAATGCCTCGGTGTCCTGCCATTGGAGAGTCGTGATTCTCTTCCAGAATAGCCTGGCGGGCGGGTTTAGGAACGCAAAGCTTCCATGGATCGGAGAACTCGGAGTCGGATAGATCGGATAAGTCCCAAAAATGTCGGTATAACTGTCCACTCTTAACACAAAAGTCTGGAAAAGCGGCGGGGTTATTTTCTACAGAAGTTTTCTTGGTAGAGTACCAAGCACATGGTACTCTACCAAGCACAAGCACAAAAATGGTCCCTGCTCGGGCGCCATTTTTGTAGCACTACTTTGGTTTTCCGGTAAGAAAGCGGTCGGTTCGGGGTTTTCGGAAAACTCGGGCGCCACCCTTAGGATTAAAGTGGTTAAGGGCCCACGTGCACTAGGTAGCTTTTAAACAGTGGAGACGGAAAAAAAACCAGAGGTCTATGCGCATTTTCCCCAAAATGAAACACACAATATCCAACAATGTAGTTTTTAATAATTCCCAAAAGTAAATAACAATACGAAACGGATGAATGTGAATACGAGGTAGCGTGAATGAAAATTAGAGTGAGTGCGAGAGAGAGAGAGAGTGTGCGAACGAATACTGGCGGGTGAATTACGTAAATGAGAAGCGACGGAAATGAAAGCCCCACGGTACGGTGAAAACGGTTAGATGACGGTAAAATCGGAAAGAAGCTCCAACGGACATTAACGGTCGGTTCCGTCCCTTCAGCGCCGGCTTGGTTAATTAATCTGGTAGAGCGATGAGCACTTGCTACACTGATACGTAAGGACAGAGAGCGCCACCGTGTACGTATTCCAATCACATGGCCCCCTCGTGTCCGTCCTGGAAAGAAATAAGGTTAACCTCATTCAATCCAGGTACGTCGCAATGTATAAGTACCTCCCTCATCCAGATTGTGTGGGAGCACCTATTCCAGATAGAGTGATAAGTACTGCTATACCGATACGTAAGGACAGAGAGCGCCACCGTGTAACGTGTTCCAATCACATGGCCCCCTCGTGTCCGTCATGGAAAGAATAGGGCCACCGTGTACGTATTCCAATCACATAGCCCCATTCAATCCAGTTACGTCGCAGCATATAAGCACCTCACTCACCTGGATAGGACTCGGCAACGGTCGGTGGGCAACGGTCGGATCGGCGCTGACGGGTCGGAAACGGTATTAGCAGCTTACCTCGGTATCGGTAGGTAGCTGCTGGTCTGGTCGGTACGGCGGACGGAATTAACTGTTCTTGCCCGTGTTCGCTAGTTTTATAGAAAAATCCCGGCGGGGGAAACGCGTCGGTAGTAGGAATTGCTAGTGGGAGAAGCAAAGGCTCGAAGCACGTCGCGCGAAATTGTACCGAAGCCCGTGACTGAAACGGAATCAGCTGATCGCGAAAAGCAAGAACTCTCGGAAAAGCCCATTTTCCATGGACCATTTATTAGGAAAATAGGTTAAATGAAATCGCGTTATTTTATTAAACAGTTTCAAAGAAAGAACGGAAATTGTAGTCAGTCGAATACGGAAATACGGAAAACTCTAGTAACGGCGTTACATAGTCAATATTAGAAAATTGATTGTAGAAGTTAAAAGTCGGTTTCTATGGTCTGTTTTTGTATTTTTTAAAACACTAAATATACGTTCTACTGAAACATTTGAAAATGGTAGGACAAGCAACAATTTTATAACTATTGTTAAATTAGGAAATAGGTGATTGCTTGCAGCATTTTTCAAATTGAACACTTCATACCAATATGCTTCAATGTCGCCAACATTTTCAAAAGTATGATCTAAAAGTCCTAGATCTTTCCACTCAGTATCCAGAGCTTGTAAATTCACAATTTGTTGTAAAACAGGAAACCTTTTACTACAGGAGCAAGAGTATTAATTTGGAATGCTTGGGGTGTTAAAACCTTATCTAGTATATCATAAATGGTATCAGAAAAGTCAAACCTTTTTTAATTTGGTTAACTAGTTTTATGTAAAAGTTTAAGCAGCCTTTCAAAACCACTTCTTTCTGATTGGTGTCAGCATTAGTTAATGAATTTAACATATGTGAAGCATTAACACCTAAATAAAGATTATCTAATGGAAAAAAATTCCTTGGATTTTTATGATCAATGATAAATATATGTTTCCCTTTGATAAAGTTAAGAGGCATATAATTTGAACACAAATGTTTGAGTAGTTTTTGGGTTTCAAACTTCAATTTATGCAGAAGTGGCTTTTCACTTTGAAACAATATATTGAAGTCATTTGTTAACCCTAAAACATAGGACAAAAATTCCAGGTAGACTAATGTGTTCAACTATTGTTGTGTTGAAGTATTTGCTCGGTAGTATGAGAAGGGTCTTCAAAAACCAATGCTCTAAAATAACCTTTTAAGGGTTCAAATTGCTCTAGCACTCTAGCAATGCATTGTTTTACTAAAAGCCATCTGGTATTGGATGCTTGTAAAATTTTATGACTTTCTAATTTTGAAATTCCTCAATTCTTTTTTGGCGTGCAGCACTTCTACTGAAGTGTGCACCAATATTTCTTATCAAATCTTCAGTGGATCTTGGCAATTGTAGACAAGCTTTTGAGGTTACTAAATGGATCATATGACAACTACATTTTGTACAAACAATTTTTGGATTATTTAGTTTTAGTAATGAGAAGACAGAGTGGTGTTCCCCAACCATTTCATTCGTAGTATCACTGGCAAAACCTACAAAATTATCACGGGGTATTTTATTTTCTGTTAAGAGGCTTTTTAAACATGCATGTAGATCTGTGGCTGAGCCGGACAATGAGTCAATCATAGCTAAACATTTTGTGTTTACTTTTTTCAACCCTTCGTCATAATAAATTATAGTAAATGCACATTGTTTTTTGGTACCTACATCGGTAGTTTCGTCCATCACTAATGAGAAAAATGAACCTGGTTTTTGGAATTCTCCTAAAAGTGTTTTTTTAAATGTCTTACCCAAATTCTCTACAATTTTGGTTGCTTTAGTTCTTTTAAGTAACGTATTGTTTGCAATTTTTGAGTCACTAAAGACATCACTACACAAAGGGATCAAAGTGTCCATTGCAAGAAATGGTATATTCAATTCCGCGAGAAGGGAACAAAGTTTAATTTCAGCTCTGGTCACATTCTTATCAAATGATGATTGTAACACCTGAGTGATTTTTTTACTTCCCTCAACTTTTTTCATGTTACTAAAATGCTTCATGGATTTGCCATGCGATGACCAGATTTGATTTATGTGGGCAGATTTCCACATTGCATACCTTGCAGTAAGCCATGTCCTTGTTGTCTACAATTGACTTGCGCCTACTAAGCCACTTTGCCAATTCCTGATTTTGTAGCCAGGTTTCGCTGAATCTCATTATTCTCGTTACATTCTTAGCCTTGAATATAGCAGCTCGTTTTCTCATTTTTTTCTCTTCATTATGCTCATTGCTGCTGGAACTTCTATCCTAAAAAAGAATCTATTACATTGTGTTTGATACTTTAGGTATTTGTAATAGCTAACTTTTTAAAACAAAGCATTTCAATTTTTTGATATGATCTAATTAGTAGTAGTCAGAACATTTTGTATGGTAAAATCTCAATAATCCCATACAAAAAAAAAAGAATATGAATGGTCTGAATGGACATGGCTAAAATAATATGTATATCATAAATATAATATGCTCACACAAACAAAAAGATCTGATACTAATGTTTGGGAGCTGTGCTGTGCTGCCAGCTTCTGTTAGAACAAAGGGCAAGAAGACAAAGGCGTTTTAAAACACGACCCATCAATAGAAACAGGGAAGCCCTTGGCGTTTTTACAGTTTATTTTCTTCCTATGAAGGCAAATGATGAGTATCAGTTTTCCAAATATACAAGGATGTCTGTTCGATCATTCAATAAACTACTTCAGATGGTCATCCCAATATTGAGAAAGAAATTAAAAATGCCAGATGCAGTTGAGCCCGAGAAACGATTGGCAATCACTTTACAGTAAGTACCCAAAATATAATTTTCATTTCATGTGATAATTTTTTGATGCCATATAATCCTTAATTATGGCGGTATAAACTGAATATTACAGTGATACTCTGTTACTTGTGTATGCTTGTGGAGCATGTCAGTTTCTTTCATACAGTTTTTGTTTTCTCAATGTTAGCATATACGTACTTGTCAATATTTTTCATTATTTTGAATATTTTATTTTAGTATTTCATTTTGTGATTACTTGGTAAATGAGTATCTTTGTACAATAAAGCATATGACTTGACTTTGAAATATTAACTATATTGTTTTTTTACAAATATTTTTTTTTTTTAGCTATTTTTCCCAAGGATCATCTATGCAGGTGATTGCATGGTCCTATCACATGGGGCATACAACAGTACACAAAATAATTGTGGAAACAGCAAAAGCAATTTGGGAGGTTTTGTCAGGAGTCTACTACTTAAAATATCCATCTTCTGAACAAGGATGGTTAAAAATAGCGAATGAATTTCAGGACCTTTGGAACTTTCCGAACACATAGTCATTCAAGCCCCAGCTAATAGTGGAAGCCAATTTTTTAATTATAAAAAGACATTTAGTATTGTCTTGATGGCTTGTTGTGATGCCAAATATAATTTTACTCTTGTGAATATCGGGGCATATGGTAGTAAAAGTGATGGGGGTATATTCAAAAACTCGCTGTTCAGAAAGTTACTAGATTTAAATCAAATGTATGTTCCTCAACTTCGGAGATTGCCTGGAACCGACATCCTTCAGCAATTTGCAGTGGTTGTGCAGATGAGGCATTCCCTTTGAAATCATACATTATGAGACCCTAACCAGGGCGAAATTTAGATGCTAGAAAGAGAATATTTAATTACCGTTTGAGTCGATCAAGGAGGTGCATAGAAAATGCTTTCGGCATTCTTGTGACCAGATGGAGGTTGCTTAGAACAACGATTCAGGCCGATGTAAAAAATATTGATCATTATGTCAAAGCCACTGTATGTCTACATAATTATGTCAAAGGAGAAGCAGAACTTGAAAAAAACAATAGATACTGCCCTCCTGGTTTTTTGGACATAGATGAAAATTTAGGTGACTGGAGAGGAGTCGAACCATTACAATCTGTGGGTCGTTTAGCAGCAGATAATGCAGGAGCTATGGAATATACAGACAGAGATTGTTTAAAAAACTACTTTCTGTCTCCTTTAGGTCAGGTATCTTGGCAAAACAAGGTATTTGATGATGGTTTTAATTTTTAGTTAAGTCAGTTATATATATATATGTACAGGGTGGCCCAAATTCGAGCCTCATCATTGGGATCTCGGAAACCCTGAGAGATACAGGGTCGGTTAAATTATATATATGACCAATTTTATGACCAATAGAATGCCGTTTTGAAATTAGCAAGATTCCGAATACTTCCGGAGATATTCGAAGAAAACCGAAATTTTGTAAAATCGTTTTTATTTTTTCCCAAGCTTATTTGAAGAGCAATTTTAAAATAAATGTCACTTCATCGTTGTCACTTTTTTCCCTTTAGAAGATGGTGCTACTAAATTTAAAATCCGACGTTTCGTCTTCAGGCGGCCATCTTCAACTTACTTTTTTTAAATACGGACCTGGATTTTTTATTTGCGATTTTGTCATCTTTGGGCATCCTTAAACCGATACTGCCAAACAATGGTTTTATTCATTAAATGGTTCATTTAAAATTTCGATAATTTTCATTTTTTTAAAATTCTGTTCATTTACAGGCATCTCTATCAGTGTAAGTCCTACAAATTTTCAAAATGCAAGATTTTTATCACTTGTTGCTTCCTTTAAAAATGAATTGATTGCCCCTAAAGTTTCTTGTACTATGTCGGTTTTTGCAGGCTGTGGAGTTTTGGCTCGTCTCACCGATGTAGTAGGAGTCGCTCGACCAATATATGTGGCAGGAATCGCTCGACCTACCGATGTGGTAGTAGTCGACTGCAAAACTCTTTTCTTCCGAGGTGCACCCTCAACATCTGATTCTTCCTGTGCCTCGTTTTCTTTTTGTGGACCACTCTCTTGACTCTCTCCTACTATTGTTGCAAAGCTGTCCTAATTATATGAGGCATCTTCCGTTGGTGATGTGAGTGGGCTGCTGATGTAAGTGGGCTGCTGATGTAAGTGACATTCGATGTTCTTCTGCAAATAAATATTAGACTTACTTAAAAATATTATCTATGTTTGATTACCCTAGGTATCACCTAATCCTTTATGTGTTCACATATGGGAATTTTTTTCAGTATAAAAAAAATTACCTTCAAGTATACATCTATATATGAACAAAATTATTATTATTTATGTATGCCAATTCACATAAATATTACAAGAAATACTTTCTGAAAAACTATAAATGGGTGAGTCCCGTTAATTAATCAATTAATCCATTTTTGAGAAATAATTTTTCCTCGCATTCCTCGCATTTTTCTTCAAAAATGTTTGTAAATACACATACACAGATATTTATTTCTATATGTTTTGAATAAATTCTTACTTACTTTCTTGTAGCAATGTGCTTCTCCAGAAAACCCATCTGATGATAGTAAACTCAAATACTGTCAGAGCTGGCTTCGGAACCTGATGGCACACATCGGATAACACGCCTTTCCTTGGAGTATCTCTCACGCAAAAGCTTCCAAAGCCTCTGAAGTTCTTCAACTAAAAGAAAGTTGTTCATGAATAATGAAATGTTATATTTCTTAAAATACAAAGTTAATATCAAAAATTTAATTTAATTTTGTCGCTCTAACATACTTTTTAAGATGTTGTGTGTTCTGCGTTTTTATGATAGGAAGGTTCATTTTTGCTAATGCAAATTTTAAGAAAGAATGTCTCAGAAATCAATTAGATCGACAAGATTTCATTATCGTAATCTACGCTCCTAAATACGTATATCCTGAAAAAAATCGAGAATCACCAAATGTTTTTACCTGTACAAGAGAGTGCCACTGCTATATTTTGCCAAGCCAGACTTTTTTTGCTCGCATCTTTGAAGTCTTTCGACCCTTTATCATAAAGAAGAGGATAATGCTGGATAATATCTATTACTAGGCTTTCAATTTCACTCATTTTTAACCCATTACTAGTATTAAGCTCAATCACTAGTGCCCAAAACAATTCCAGAACCTCACTTTTCAAAACCAAAACAAAAACAACGCCAGCGGCCATTGCCTGTAGGGCAGTGGTTCCCAAACTGGGGGGCGCGTCCCCCTGGGGAGGCGTGAAGCAACATTAAGGGGGGCGCAAGTCTTCTAAAAAATCAATACAAATTTTAAGCTTTAAAATAAAAAATCAGTTAAAATTTTAAAAAAGATGTCTACAATCCGGCAACAGTGCATACCTGAGCCAAAGCAGCTTTGCCATGCGATCACTGCTACCGCGCACGCTCGCTGCCCAGTGTCATGCCCATTCCTTGTCTTCCAAAGTCCAGTTCAGACGAGTTACAGTAGTTACAGTAAGTAAGAAAAAAGGTTTTTGTATAATGGGGAAAGGAAGGGGGCCGCGACCACTTCTTGATTTCAGAAAGGGGGCGCGAAAGAAAAAAGTTTGGAAACCACTGCTGTAGGGGGAGTGTAGTGACAATCATTACGTTTTAACACGAAAACCGACGATTGCACCTGAATCCGTATCAGTAACCGTAAGAAATAAAAATGAACCATTTCATACTGCTTACGGCTCACTGCATACTTGTTACTGAAAGACTATAACCAGGAGCATGTATTTGCTATAAGTTCATTTTTCTTACGTCTTACGGATACTGCTTACTGCTTACGTCACGGAAGTTATAAATCCAGCTTTCATCTTGATTGATTGACCTTCTATTATCATATTGGTGCGAGGGAGAATTTGAGAGCTCTGTGATTTCTTGTGAAGAACCCTAATTCAAAACATTTTTAGTAATCTAGATAACAATGAAATATTTACCAAGTAATACCCACCTCCGGACTCACATAACCTCTACTTGTACTAGCAACAGGTTCGAGATAAGGTGAAGCCTCGGTCCTAGTTGAACTGCTTTTGCCTTTGGAACTCGCACCCTCTGCCTAAAAATATAATAGGCTTACCTAAGCAAGACCTAAGTTAGGGAAAAGCAATCAATCATAAATACCTAATCAAGGAGATAAATAAATGAAGAATGAAAGTACATATTTTTTCCTGTTTTAAAAAATAGTTGTAAGTGGTGAAAATGTTTATATTAAAAATATTTACTCTTTTATTTAGAGCGTGTCTCATTAACCACTTATCCATTTTCAAGAATTTCCATATAATTTCACAATTTCAATTTTTTTAAAATTATATGTATTGGACTGGACGCTATGATGGTATGTCACTTGTCACTATGTCATGTCATGTCATTTTCATTTAAGGTCAGTTGGGGTGAGTGCGTATTTAGGGTAACAGCGTCCGGTCCATATAAAAAAAGAATCATACAGATTGCTGG